GTTTTGAGCAGTGAAAAGCATCTTGATAGATGTATTGCATCAAACAGAGAGTACTTTGAAGGTGTCTGAAGTTTAAACATGTAAGAATAAATACACAATTTTCTATAAACAAATTCCAGGGTTTTGTGGGGGATCCTCCCTCATATAAACAAACAACAGAGCATTAAATCATAAAAAAGGGGGTAGAGAAGAAGGGAATTGCATCATGGGGACAGGGACAGAATATAGGTTTCTTAAGATTTTACTTTGGCTTCATATATCTGTTTTACATAATTATAAACAAAATTAAGTTATAAAAGCAATTCCAAAAAAACAAAAGTAAAATAATCAAATGAATCAACATGTATAACCACTTTGTGGGACAACCACAAAGAGAGAAACTATTCTAAGTGATTTTAAAGGATAGTAATTTGACTTTATATGTCTAATAAAATCTGTCATCAGGACAAAAAGAACTGAAAATAATCTTTAATTGTTAGAGTAGTTATATTGCTGGTAGCAGTGCTATTATTTGCATTTTGCAACTGTTGTGTGTATATCCTGGGATAAAGGAAATGAATTATTATGTTAATGTCTTATAGAACTGAATTTTTTTCATCATAGGAAAAAGGGAGATACAGCTGCAAAATTGTTGCAATTAAATAAAAACCCTGTCACCCTAAATTTCAAGTATCAGAATTAACGGTGTATTTATGTTAAACAAAACATTTTTTAGCTTTGCCCACTCAGAAAGTCAAGAAACAGTGATCAGTCTAGTAACAATAAACACCTCTAACACCCAGTTGCGGTTTCTAAATGTAATTTCTTACTTAAAAAAATAGGGCTTCTTGGAGAATTGGCTGATCCTGAGCCTGAGCAGGAAATGTATAATGAGTCTGAAACCTCTTGTTATACCAAAGTGCAAGGCAGCCTATTAAGGTTGGGTCAATAAGATTCAGGAGTTAACCTGAATTGACTCACAACAGCTAGAAAGGACAATGTTAGTATTAATAAAGATAATAAATGAAACACACTGTGTTTCAAGCCATGTTTTTATGATGATACAAAAAAGAAAACACATTGGTGACCTTTGGAAGATACTAGAGAACCAACTCAATATTTCGAAAACTGGTTTAAAAATGGGAAAGAAAGAGAATCAAACATTTAGCATTTATCCTGTCTTTCTTATATAAACTATACCTATACCATAAAGTAAGTAAATAGTTGATGAATGGAAGTTTGCGTCATATAATTATTCCAAATAATAAATAAGGGGAATACTAGAATTTTAAAGCTGTTATTTTATAGCCACTAATTAGTTAGTGGATATGAGGCTAAGCAATGTTCACTAATTCTGACATCACAATAAGAAAGAAAATCAGACTGTGTTCTACTTAATGGATGCACATACTACCTACCACCTGTAAAGCAGTCATGCCAAACATCCAGACATGGGTCTGATCAAGCCTCCAGAGGAGGAGTCAAGAAACTTTTTCCTAAAGGACCAGACAAGCATTTTGGGTTTGTGGACCTGACAGGCTCTGCTGAATCTACCCAACTCAGTCATTGCAGCTTGAAAGCAGAATTTGGAAATGAATGGACATGTCTGCATTCCAATAAAACTTTATTTATAAAAACTGGCCCACAGGCTGGCCCACATGTCTGTTTGTCAATCCTGACTTAAAATCTACATCTAACTTATACTTTAAAGAAAATGCAGGTGTGGAAAAAGGAATTTATTAAATGATGTTACAGGAATGTGATCAGTCAAATTCAGACTGAAGGAAACTGTCCAGTACAGAGTACCTGGCGTCTTTAACAATAGCAACAAAGACTTCAAGAAATAGAAAAAATTGGAGAAGAAATGCATATCTCATAAGAGACATAAAAGTCATATCAAAAAAATCAAAATATCTGGGGCTTATTTAACAAGTTTTTGAAAATAATATAAGACAATCATGGAAGTGAATTATGATGACATTAAAAAATTATTCTTTTAGGTGTGATAACAGTGCCTTGTGGTTATGTTTCGAGAGTTCATATCTTCAGAGAAACATATTAAAATACTTATAGATGGAATGATATAATGCTTGCTGTTTGTTTTAAAATAGTCTTTGGTGGGGCAGGTGGGGTTATAGATGAAATAGGATAGACCATGAGTTGACTATTGTTGGAGTCGGTAATGGCTGCATTGCTAAGAGTTCATTGTGCTGTTCTCTCTACTTTTGCATATGTTCAAAGTTTTCCATAATTGAAAATTTAAAATACACAGATTCAGTGGCACAGAGGAAAAATATAGGTGTAGATGAAGAAAATCAGGTTTAGTTGGCTGAAGAGGAAAGCCTCTTGGAACAATTAAGAAGGATTATGGTGATGGGATTTAACCTGTTTGTCTCCTAGTACTAGAATAAAAAATAAGTTGAAGAAAATCAGATCCACCCTAACATCTCTGAGTAACCACGCCACCTCCCCATCTCTCTCAAAAGGGAAGAATTCCAAGTGTGCCAGGGCTTGGGGCTGAGGGTCCAGGGCACTGCTAGCTGCTCACTAGTATCTGTATGCTCCTTCTTCCTTGTAGCAGAATCTTGATTTCTTCAGCCATGCCAACGCCCATTTAAAAACAGTCAGCCTCTCAGACTCCATGGCAGCTAGGTTTGGTCATGTGATCTAGTCCTAAAATATAAATGAAAGTCTAATGGTGAGGGCCTCCAGAAAATACGATTTTCTTTTTTTTTGAGTTGGAGTCTCACTCTGTTGCCCAGACTGGAGTGCAGTGGCACACTCACAGTCACCCTAGCATCGACCTGCTGGGCTCTGGCGATCCTTCCACCTCAGCTCTCCAAGTAGCTGGAACTACAGGTGCACGCTACCACACTTGGCTAATTTTTTTTTTTTTGTAGTAGAGACAAGGTCTTGCCAAGTTGCCTGGGCTGGTCTCGAACCCACGGACTCAGGCAATCCACTTATCTAGGCCTCCAAAAGTGCTGGGATTACAGGCTGAGCCACTGAGCCTGGCCTAAAATATATGATTTTCTAAATTAAAAGGGGGTAGACTCAGCAGATAGATCCATTCCAGTTTATTATTGCCTGAGAGTAATTATAGTTCCTAGATTAGTAGTGGCCATCTTGTAGCCATAAGAATCAAGGGGGCGACAGAGAGAATTGATCATGGGACATCAAGGAGTCACTGCCACAGACCTGGGTTACTACCGGGACTTCAAGTTTCATAAGAAAGATAAACTGCTATGTAGTTAATTCACTATTCACTACTAATTCACATTTGCTACATGTGGCCAAACAGCGGTAGTCACTAAGATGTGAAACCCAAAATATTCAAAACGAAACCCCTGATCTCCTTTAATCCATCTTCTCATTGTCCTTGACAGCTTAATATGTGATATCACCTGTCTCTGAGTTATTCAGACCAAATCTCCTCTTTCTCCCTCTTGCTCCATATTCAGTCCAAGTCTGTTGGGTCCTATCTTTGAAGTTTGCCTGGAATCGAACCACTTCTCAGTAGTACCCTTATCTAGGCCACCACCATCGCTCCTGGTCTAGCCCAGTGATCTCCTGACTGGTCTCCTGCTTCTGCCTTTGCTTCCTACTGTCTATTCTCTACCATCAGTCAGAGGGTTCACTCTGAAATGTAAGTTGCATCATAGCAATCCTCTGTACAGCATCCAAATGTCTTCCCTTCTTACTGGGAATAAGGTCTAAAGTTCCACCCCTGGACAATCAGTTCTTAGATGACCTGATCCCTCACTCACTCAGCTCCAATCACACAACTTCCTTTTTGTTTCTAGAAGGCACCAAGTAGGCTTTTGTTCCAGATGTTTACCCTTGCTCCTCACTCTGCCCGGAATCCTCTCTTCACAGATGTCCACATGGCTCATTCCCTCAATTACTTCCAGTCTCTTTTCAAATGACACCTATCAAAGAAGCCTGTCAACCTGGCCATTTGCTTGTTTGTACCTATCTTTATTCCCCAATCCTCTTGGTCACCCTCAGTGTTGCAGGGAACTGAACTTCTTGGGTACCCCTTCCCCTTGGATCTTAGTTGGTTCAGTCCATGAGGGGGAAGAAGTAAAAGACTGAAGTCAGGAAGAAAGGAGGCAGGAGCCGAGGTGTGTGCTTTTCTCTTCAGGTTGTGTCTCTGGTAACCATAGGCTATTCTCTGACACTCTAGCTCCCACTGGACAGACCTTCCATCTGTGGTCCCAGCTCCTGAAAGCCAGGCCTAGTGTGGCTCCAGCTTCTACCAGGTGGCTGCAGCACAGGGTCTTCAGTAACAGCACCACCTCCCTCTGTTAGTCCCACTGTTGCTAATCTCTTAGTTACTTGCTGTCCCTTGTTTGGGTTTTCAGCCCCTCTATCACCTGTAGAGTCAGTTCCCCATACTAAATCTCCTCTGTTTCAAATACCAACAAATCCTGAAAAATGTGACTTGGCCTTCCTGATAGGACTTCCCTGAAGACCTTAAATAAAACAGCTTCAGCATCCCCTCCCTCTTGCCACACTATCCACCTATCCTGCTTAATTTTCCCTCATGGATCTTATCAACACCCTAATAGAGAATGTATACATTAGTTTCTTAATTGCCTAATTCTCCCCTGGAATATAAGCCTCGTGACAATATCATTTGTTTTGATCTCTGCTTGCCCCCAGTGTCCAGAATGAGGCCTGACCAATGGTAGGTGCTTACACAAACAAATGTCCCCTCATTTATTTAAGAGATATTGATAAACACTCTCCATGTTCCAGGTACTAGACAAGGTGATGAAGTGGTGAATAAGACAAGCATTTCTGCTAGGCTGATTATTGCTTTGGCCACTGGAGGGAGTGGCAGTGAGGACACAGCCCTTCTTGAAGTTTGATGCATTTTAATTATTCGCCTTCTGTTTTGTGGTGGCTCCAAAACTGAGTGGAAAATTACCTGGACTGAAATAGAAGCTCACTGAAGAAAGGAACAATTCTATTGTTCAACATGAGTCAGACTCCCTAACAGGGGAACAGACACTCACCTGACATGGAGTGGGATCTTGGGCACCTTCTTAGAGACCTTGAACCGGCCTCTGTCCCCACAGATGTCGGTGAAGTACACTCCGGCCACACTTGTCACCTGGTTCCCAGGGAACTTGGACAGCACCTTGTCACCACCGTGCTTGCTGGCCCAATACCAAGCCTGGCCCCCAATGAGCAAGCCCCCTCCACGCTTCACAAACTGGATCAGCTTTGCCGTCATGGTGTCATCATAGGCGTTGATGCAGTAAACTCCCAGAGGCTCTCTGGGTTCTGACACAATCTGTGCCTCAAGCCCAGAGTCCTGCAGGATGTTCACTAGTGACGCCAGGCATGGGTGCACTCCAATAGGAGCCACAGGCGAGGGACAGAGCCAGCTCATTGCATTGAGAAGAAATGGAGCCAAGCCAGCATGCAACAGGTAGCCCTCATGGGACACCACCACCAGGCGGCCTTGGCCGTAGAAGGAGGCAGCAATGAGAACCTGGCCCTTGTCATTCACCATCACTGGGAAGGCGGCCTCACCAATAAGAAGGAGTTCACTGGGAATGGGGCCTTTGGGGACATCCCAGTTTGTCACTCCATCCATGAGAGCCTCAAAAGCAGCAGCGGGAATTGTTGCCATGGTTGCTTCAACTACTGCAGAGGAAAACAAAGGCTCAGTTTGGTCATAACAGATGAAGGAATGAGTCAAAAAAACATCAAACAGCTAAACTCGTTCACCCAAAATTTTATTGGGTTCCCAACTGTGGGCTAAGCACTATTCTAACACTGGGGGTACCAGAAAGAAACAAAACAGACAAGGTTTCTGCTTTCATGATTCAAACATTTTAGAAGGGGAAATACAATGAATAAGTAGGTAGATAAACATACATAAAATGCAACAGTTAATCACTACAGTGAAAATAAAACATGACACGATGTGGAGTGACTGAAAGACTACTTTAGACTGAGTGATAGGAAAATGACCCTGAAGCTGAAACCTGAAATGCTTTTGAGAGAAGAGCGTTCCAGCAAGGAGAAGTGCCACGTGGTTGAGAGAGAGCAAGGGGCAGGGAGGGGCAGGACCTGAGGAGGAGTGAGGGAGGGCGAGATCCTGCAGTGCCCGCAGATGAAGGCCACAGTTAAGCTGATATGTGCAGGTGGACTTAGTGTACTTGATTTCTTCAGACAAAAAAGTCACAGACCTGTCAGAAACTGCATTTCTTCTGACAGCTTCAAATGCATCAGTTGAAAATTCCTCCCACTGTTAAAAGTCTGCCTTAATGGAAAGGGCATTCTGCAGTTTCCCGGGGTTTTTTTAAAATTTGATTTTAAAATTCACGGTGTCTCATGCATATAATCCCAGAACTTTGGAAGGCTGGGGTAGGGAGACTGAATTCAAGAGTTTGAGACCAGCGTGGCCAGCATAGCAAGACTTCATCTCTACAAAAAACAAAAAAAGAAACCAGGCATGGTGGTGTGCACCTGTTGTCCTACCTACTCTGAAAGCTGAGGCTGAAGAAAAGCCTGAACCCAAGGAAGCTGAGGCTGCAGTGAGTTGTGATTTAATAATTTTTTGATTTATTGTACAGGTAAGGTCTTGCCAAGTTGCCTGGGCAGGTCTTGAACCCATGGGTTCAGGCAATCCCCTCACCTTGGCTTCCCAAAGTGCTAGGATTATAGATGTGAGCCACCGCACTCAGCCAGGATTGCTTTTGAAGATTAAAAAAATACGGATAAGAACGCCTTATCCAGAATGAGTATACAGAGAGTGATCACTGAGTAAATTTGAGTATCCGTCCCTTTATTGTCCTTTCTAGTTTTCCAGAGTGGCAAGGGCAGTGTAGAAGATGCTCTGGGTGCCCCTGCCACTTCCCTCAGTCCACCTCTGAGGACTCCAGTGGGGGACTTCTCTCCACAGGTGCATAGGGCAGCCCTGAAGGGGCAGTGCATTCTACAGAGGTCCTCAGAGAGTCCTGGACCCAAGCTTCGGGGGCCCTCCTGGCAGACAGTTTAGCCACAGGCCCTTCCTGGCTTCCCCTCCTTCGGGCCTCATTCTCCCCACTTCCTCACTAGGGCTTTCCGGGCTCACTTTCCCATAAAACCACCTGGAGGCAAGTCCTTGCCTCAGGCTTTGCTTTGAGGGAGCATCTAAACTGAGAAAGATACCAAACCCTTGAGCCACACTTGCATTCTTCCTTCTTCCCTCCATACACAGGCAGCCACCTCATTTTGCTAATCTTCTCTTCGTTCACAATCATGTCTAGACTAAACCAATCTGGTTTTAGTTCCCAGGATGTATTCTCATCTACAATCTTTCTCAACAAGAACTCTAATGAGAATCTTCACTTTTCATCTACTCTCCTAAGTGAAATTTGCTGAGTGCCTCACCCTGGTTTCTAAGGCCTCCAGGGTCTGGCATGTCCCTACCTTACTTTTTTCCCCCCTGCTACTTAACATTTTTCTTCAGAATCTCTAGTAGGCTTGGCATCCTGGATCATGACCTGTATTTCTTGTTTAATTCCATCTCCTCCCTCCTCCCCTCCTTCTCTTCCATCTACCACCTTTTTCTTTTTCTTTTCTTTTTTTTTTAAGTTGGAGTCTCATTCCGTCGCCCAGACTGGAGTGCAGTGGCACGCTCCCGGCCACCGCAGCCTCGACCTGCTGGGCTCTGGCGCGATTCTTCCGCCTCAGCCTTCCGAGTAGCCGGAGCTACAGGCGTGGGCTACCACACCCGGCTAATTTTTTTATTTTTTATTTTCATTGCAGAGACGAGGTCTCGCCAATTTGTCCTTGAACCCTCAGGCACAGGCAATCCACTCGCCTCGGCCTCCCAAAGTGCTGGGATTACAGGCTGAGCCACCGAACCCGGCCCACCTTTTCCTTAATATCCTGCTCTCAGGAAAATGAATTAACAAGAGAGGGCACCCGGATGGAGCACAGAGCATATAGGTGCGTGATTTCAGTTTTAGGGGCTAGGAGCGGAAAAAGGTAGCGTGGAGAGATAAGGAAGCCTGAGCTCAAGATCATACTAACTCTCAGAAGACAGCTGTCTTTCACTTCTGGGGACTTCCAAGTTTGAAAGGAAAAACAAACAAAAAAGCCCGGGTGATTAAAATATGTCCCGGAAAGCTGACACCACCACTCTGTAAACAAATGAGCTTTCGTGAGCGCACACACACACCACACAAGTCTTTGTCAAATTCGTCAATCACAAGTTTAAAGAAGGGAGAGAAATGAGTTTTGAGTAGCAAATAGCGCCAGAAAACAAAACGAAAAGAAATAAAAGACCTAGACCTGAGAAGGGACTCCCCCACTGCTGAGAGTGGCCTTCGGCATGCCTCAGGCACTTTGGGGCGACCCCCGGTGTCCCCTAGATGCTCGGCCACCCACCCCCACCCTCAGGACGCGCTCAGATTGGAAAACTCACGGCTGCCGGTCAGGGTACCCAGGAATGGCAATGCAGAGGCGCGGCAGGGAGGTCCCGCGGGCGGGGCCTTCCCGGAGGCGGGGCCTTCTCGGGGGCGGGGCCGTCTCGGGGGCGGGGCGGGCCGTCTATGGGCGGGACGATAAGACCGCGCACCAAGCCGCCTTCCGCGTTCTCTTCCCTCCCCCAAGACCCGCCTTCTATAGGGCGGCTACCCCGGGGCCTGCCAGATGAGCAGTCCCGCCCTCGCAGAGGAGCCGCTTGGCCTGCAGTGGCCAGGGGCCCCAAACCAGCTGCCTTAGACCCTCCCAGCGTTCTTGGATGCGAGAAGGAGCTCGGCAAGGTTGCTACTGCATTTGGTGAGAAAAGCAAACTCTTTAATAAACCCTATTCGGGGCGAACGATCTCCCAACAACAGCATAACCCACCACCGGGCCCCGTGTGGAATCGGGCTCCCTTCCCCCGATCTTGGGATGGGGCGCTCCAGAGCCGCGGCTGCCGCGTCATCACCGACCCCCGAGCTCCTGCGTGAAGGGGCTGTCCCCTGGTGGTCAGCACCCGGCCGTGCACTCCGTGCCGGGGAGTTTCTCGGTCATGGGGTGGGTACTCGAGTAGGGGACGGAGAGCTGACATTTTGCTCTGGGAGTATACGCATCCTGTCCAGTGATAGTCTTGCTGAGGAAGAAATGTGCTTGTCACATCACTAGCACAGACAAGTCCACGCATGGCTGGAGAAATTAAGGTAAAACCATAGAGTGTTTGCTGCTCGAATTTCTACCTAAGAGGGATCAGAAGGGAAACATCTAGTTGGAGGGGTAGCAGGAGATTTGCCACAAATCTGCTTTTGCATAGCTTTACATAGCACGTACATTATTTTTGTGTTGTACTGTTTTGTGTGTTGAAGGGGAAAGAGCATACAGGAAGGGGTGGGAAGGTGAGTTTATGAGCATACAGGAAGGGGTGGGAAGGTGAGTTTTTCTTAAGCTCCTCTTTAAGGCTACCACTGGTTAGACTTGTCAGTCATCACAATGTAACGTTTTCAGAGGCATTTAATTAAAAAAAATAAGTACATGATTGGGTTTTTATAAGCAGCAGTTATTCCCCACAAACATCCTCAATCTTGACATGTAGCAGACTCTTTATTGATATTTTGTCTTCTGTCTCAAGGGTAAAGATGTCCCTCCTGATTGCCAGGGCCAGTCTCTTCACCCGAACCTCTAGCCCATTCCCTTTATAAAATAGGTAGCATCTCCTCCAGGACCCTGCTGTCCCTCCTTTTTGTACTTTCATTTTTAAAAATCTACTGATTTCTTTCCTAGTTGTTTAAACTCTCTTTCTTGCCTTTGTTTATACACAGGTCATTTCTTTCCTGCAGTTCTGCTAAAGATATAGGTCAGCCTTGGCTAGCCAGCTTTTGCTTCTACCACCTCGTTTCTTTCCCAGGTCACTGGTGGATTTCTTTCTAAATCCAGACTGCATCCTTACTTTCTTGACTTCAGTGCACACTTGGCAGAGCTGATTGGTCTCTCAGTTCACTCTTTTCTTTTAAACTAACATAATGCTATATTATTGTATTTCTCTTTTCTCAGATATACTTAAAGCTGTTAAATTGAACTAAATTTGACCTGCGACTGCCTTTATATTTTGAGTGTGTAAAACAAACTGCAACCTAACTTTAAAGTATATTCTTGTGACAGTGGCTGAGTCTCAGCCAATCACGACAGCTGCGCTACAGTCATTCATAGGCTGCCAACGACTAAGACCACATTTACATAACGCAAAGACCTCATCGCACCATGTCCATCCACACAAAGCAAATGCAAGTGCTGAACTAGAACTAATCAAACTGTCTCTGGAGGGCACATCATTTTTCTGTCTATAAATACTGCCTGCCCATGTGGCTGAGTGGAGTTCTCTGAACCTCTCTTATTCTGAATGCTGCCTGTTTCATGAATCATTCTTTGTTCAAATAAACCATGTTAAGTTTAGTTTATCCAAGGTTTTTTCTTAATGTAACATGGTCGTGTAAAGCAGGTTTTTTTTTTTTTTTTCTTTGTGTGGGGGGAATGAGGAATACAATTCTGATACTTTGATACTGTGACTTGCTTCTTATGGGCTGAATTTGTATGTTAAAATCTCAACCCTCAATACATCAGAATGTAGCTGTATTTGAAGAGAAGGTCTTTAATGAAGTGATTAAGTTAAAATGAGGCTATTAAAGGGGGGGACCTAATCCAATATGATTGCTGTTCTTATAGGAAGAGAAAGAGATAGCAGGCATCTGAGCCCAGAGGGAAGACCAGATGAGGACACGGTAAGAAGGTGGCTATCTGCAAGCTAAGAAGTGAAACCTCAGAAGAAATAAAACCCTGATCTCAGACTTTCAGATTCCAAAACTGAGAAAATAAATGTCTGTGATTTAAGCCTCCCAGTCTGTGGTACTTTGTTATGGCAGCCCTGGCAAACTAATATATGTCTCCTATTCCTTTCTTGTAAGCAAGTTACAGCACTTTAAAGTGATGTTTCCTAGGAAGTCAGGCAATTTCCTTAAAGAGGTGGTCATGGTCTAGGTTTTTGTACAAAGCCATAAACTTACTTTTTAAAAGAGTGTGCCCATTTACTGGTTTGGTTTTAGAGTGAAAATTAATTTGAGAGGCTTACTTTCACAGCAAGGAAACATTTTCTTTCATTTATTGTCAGGCAGAACTAGTAAATAAATAAAACTTAGAATAATAAACAGCATTTTAATTGCTCAGATGTTCAAAGTTTTAAAAATGTTGATAATATATTTAATGTTGTTAAAACTGTGAGAAAATTGACATTCTCCAACCTTAGTAGTGAGAACATGAATGGATATAAATGTTCCAGAAGATCAATGAGGGTTTATATTTATGATTATATATATATATATTTGTCTGTAGCTACCTATTTATCTGTTTTTCTCTTTGATACAGCAACCTCACTTTTAAAAATTTATCCGATGCAAGAGTATAAATAGTTACATATAAAAACACAGTTAATTACAGAATTATTTTAAGTAGAAATATAGCTCAAATATACCTAATCAATAAGTTCAAACTATCTATAAGTTAATGGTTAATTTAAGATATACCATACAATGGAACATTCTTCAACTGTTTAGAGGACCTAAGTAGATCTGCAAGTACTAAGAAGAAAATGTTTAAAAGTTTAATGCTAAAAATATGTTTGTTGGTGTATGTAATATGATCTCATTAAAGCACAAAGCAATTTAATATACACACATTGTGTGTTTGTGACACATGAAAATGTCTTAAAGGCTTCCAGAAAAACTTAGTGACTTTATCTTTTACCTGTGATAAGTGATTCAACGGGGTTTTTCTATTCATCTTCTGTGGTTTTCAATCTTTATTATTTGTCACCAGAGAGAAAATATTAAAAACAAAGGAAAATATAAATGTTTCTAGGAAGATATGGTCATATACATTTTTTATTACTGGAGAGTCATAAAAACTTCTGATCATTTTTCATGATTACCTTGTAGAGAGTAATAGTATCACTAGTTAAAGATATTATATCATGAAGCTTTTAGTGTAGCTTATTCAACTGAACTAAGTAGCAGCACATTGAAGGCTCTGGCATAGAGTCGATCCACACCCACAGAAAGTCCCATGTCCTATGCTTTTATGGGCTGTGCTCTCAATTCCTCAACCAGTCTTTCTTAGTATTAAACTACTATCACCAAGTCCTACTATAGCTCTTGAAAACCCCTCATCCCCTTCTCTTCATCTCCACACTCCGGCCTTCTATCAAACCACCAGTATCTCTCAACTGCAAAGGCCTCTAACTGAATTCCCTATACATCTCATACCATTTCTAATATACTCTTTATGTTGCAGTTTGTGTTCATTCCAGAGTTCAGTTCTGATCACATCAGCTCCCTGCATTAAACCAGCTAGTAGCTTTCCATCAACCTTAGAATACTGACCTAGGTATACAGCCTCCACATGGCTGGACCCTGGTAGTTCTCCAGTCTTAGTTGACACTGTGGTTTCCTTCTCCTACTACTCTATGGGTTTATTTAAGTTTATGGAATGTGCCGTACTCTCTCCTATCAAAATGAAATGTTCCTCTCTTAGGAAACTACACTTTTGTCTCATCTTATCTCAGGGCATTGGTTCCCTAGAAAAATCTTTTCTTAAGATAGACAAGTGGGACCTCATCAAACTGACAAGCTTTACAAAGCAAAAGATACCATCAAGAGAGCAGGGAGACAGCCCACAGAAGGGAAAGAATATTTGCCAACTGTATATCTGATAAGGGTCTAACATCTAGGATCTACAAGGAACTCAAACATGCCAAAAAGAAAAAAACAAACAGCCCCATTAAAAAGTGGCAGAAGACATGAATAGACACTTCTCAAAAGAAGATATACAGGCAGCCAACAGACACATGAAAAAAGTGCTCAGCCTCACTCATCATCAGAGAAATGCAAATCAAAACCACATTGAAATACCACCTAACCCCAGTAAGAATGGCCATCATTAATAAAAACAAACAACAACAGATACTGGCGAGGATGCGCAGAAAAAGGAACGCTTCTACACTGCTGGTGGGAATGCAAGCTAGTGCAACTTCTTTGGAAGACAGTGTGGCGATTTCTGAAAGAACTAGAGATTGACCTTCCATATGACCCAGCAATTCCCCTATTGGGAATATATCCAGAGGAATCCAAATCATTCTACAAAAAAGATACCTGCACACATATGTTTGTTATAGCTCTTGAAAACCCCTCATCCCCTTCTCTTCATCTCTACAATAGCAAAAACATGGAACCAACTATTGAAATTGGACTGGATTAAAAAATGTGGCACATATACACAATGAATATTATGCAACCATAAAGAAGGACAAACATATGGACTTTGCAGCAAATTGGATGGATTTAAGTTGATCATACACAGTGATCTATCACAGAAACAGAACAGAGTACCACATGTTCTCACTCATAAGTGGGCCTTGAACAATTATCATAATACTATAAGAAAGGGATTGACAGTAGTGGGAAACTGCCAGGGAGGGGTGTAGGATTGGCAGTTGGGGGGGAACTGTCAGGGGAGGGAGTGGCACACCTCATCAGCAAGGGTACCTGCATAATCAACATTTGTATACCTAACCCTGAATTGTACCCCACATATTTAAAATTTAAAAAAAAATTTTTTAAAGTCTTTTCTAACCTCCAGACTATACCAAATCCTCCTCCTGACCACTCCAACTACCTCTGATTCTTAGTTATTATCTCAGTCATATTTTTGCATTCATTTGCATGATCTTTTGATCAAAATTGCTGTCTCTGATTAGGTCTTACTATTGTGAATGCAGAGTCTGTCTGTGTTTTGCCCACTATTGGGTCCCTTATTGCCTAGTTTCATTTCTGACATGTAGTAGGCTTTAGTTTCTTAAAAAATTCCTAAATGTATGTTGAATAAATAAGCACATAGTGAATGCTCAAAACATTTCTATTCAATTAGTGGATAAATAACTGACTCTTTGGAGGACTAGTGGAGATCTGACTGGCAGAGAGCCACATACATTCAGGTCTAAGAAAGAAAGAGAAACTTACACAAGGAAGACAATTTTGATAAGACTTGTCAGAATTTTGGAATACTTCAGGATAAACTAGTGTAAAGTGAAGTAAGCAGAGTTTCTACATTTAACTGACCTTCAGAGCTGAAGTGGAAGATGGACAGTAAAAGAGTGAGTTACTAATGTCCTGTGTCAAAAGCTGACTCAGGGTCCTTTTTATGTTTGTGCTCTTAGGTTTTAACCAGTTTCTACTTACATCAACCTCACTTTTATGGTAAAGTAACACTATTGTTCTGAAGAGTTAGGGTCTCAATCTGTCACCCAGGCTGTAGTGCAGTGGCACAATCATGGCTTAACACAGCCTAGACCTCCTGGGTGCAGGCAACCCTTCCACCTCAGCGTCCAGAGTAGTTAGGACTACAGGCAGGCACCCCTAAGTCTGACTAATTATTTTTTATTTTCTGTAGAGACAAGGTCTTGCTATGTTGCCTAGGCTATTCTCGAACTTCTGGGCTCAAGCAGTCCTTCTGCCTGGTATTTCCAAGGTGTTGAGATTACAGGAGTGAGCCACCACACCCATCCTAAAAAGGGTCTTGAGAATATTTTGGCATTGTTCTGATTTTTTTTTTTCTAGAGTCAGAGAGCAGAAAGCATCTGCTATTTGGGAGCAGGAGCTGCCAGAGGAATGGAACTTAATCAAAATATGAACAGCATAAAGATCCATTTTAAAAAGTAGAAGATGAAAGACAGTGACCAGCATGGGTTTCTACTAAAGGGTAATTTCTCATGCAAAGGTGAAGACCCCTAGATCTGAAAGAGGGATAAAACAAAGTAGTCAATGAAATCATATTCTCACTAGACACTTATTCTATGAGGTAATTCTGGGAACTAGAAACATTAATATAGTTGAGAAGTCTAAAGAAGAGACTAGACATGAAAACAACTAGTTTAGCAGATTGATTTATTTACATGTCAAAATTGGCTACAAGTTAAGTACAAGGGAACAAAAAGGAAGAAGCAACTGTTTCTAATCAAGGGAAGAGATGAGAGAAAAATTTGAAGGTGACACAGAAACTTACCTTTAAAAAATATACATATTTGTGGACAGATAAGAGTGGAAGGCATTACAATGTAAGGCTGTAAAATACCCCAAAACATGGAGATGTAAATGTGAAAGACTATTTGAGAAAGACAAAATTTTTTTTGTAACTGAAACATGTTAGCAGGTCTTGCATAGTGCCAGCTTTAAGGAGAAGGTTAGGCTAGGTTTAGTGGGACTTTGGCTGGCATACAGGAAGTCTGAGTTGTATTCTACAATCTGGAAGAAGGTTTTTAAGAAGTGCCATATAGCAAACATTGGTTGTCTCTTCAACATCTATTTCCCATTCCACCCCTGTGGTCCTTTCTAACAAAATCCCGATTTTGCATCGATAATTCACTTCTCCTTTCAAAAATTTGAGGGAAAGTAAAATAATTTCCATTTTTAAGGGTGGATATGTATTAGTTGAAGTCAAGCAAGCTAGTCCATATTTTTTGTGCTGCCATGGCTGACTCTTAATGGGTTATACATAATAAACATACATCACAATATTATGCTTGATTGTTCGGCATGTGTAAGAGGCATAGTCTTGATTCTAAATCAGATTTGTTGTTACCAGTGATGCATCAAGTCCATTTTGGCTAAATAGAGAGCAACTTCCACAGTAATTTCAGTGTATCACTAAACCAAATGCAGAGGTTATTACACACATATGCTTTTTTTTTTTTTTTTTTCAGTTTTTAAGGTGTTATTTTTTGGCCAAGTCCACAGGTTTTCCACATCAAGGAGTATGATTTTAGGGAATGTTTGTATAGGATC